CATTCACAATTCATGTAAAATTGAAAAAAGTCTAGCTTTCAAATTCTATTTCATGTATGAACTTGTGAATCCGAAACGGGTGAATGACACGGCTTATAATCTCCTTCAAACACCATTGTACCAATCCGAAAATGTTAATATTGATCTCGATTGGCTGTTCAATGTCAGTTCAGTCATCGAAAGAATTTACACAGAATGTGTCTGAGCTGCATTCAAATATGTCTGCGAAATTATGTACCGAGCAGTTCAGAATTAACACTTAAAGACGTCCAAGATGAAAACACAATAAAGCTGCATTTCAAAGAAAATGTAGACAACAATTTTGCGAATGGGTAACTTGTGATCACTTTCCGGCGATCACAATTTTTTATTAAATTAAAATCGTTTATTTAAATTTTTTTTATATAAAAAAATATTCGTGATTTTGATGTATCACAGAAATTTTTTTGTATTTATTATTTTCTTAATTTTAAGCCAAGATACAAGATAGGAATGAAAAAATGGTACCAAAGAGGGAAAAAGAAAGAAAAGTCATTGCATTTGAAAAGATTTAAATATTTTTGAATATAATCAAATACAGATAAAATTTACTGAAAAACCTCATTCCGTATTTTGCTACCCAGTCAAGCTTATTTAAAGGGGGGGGGGGAAGAAAAAAAGCAACTTTACTTCATTTCTTATGCACAAGAAAACACTTAATATAAAAGTTTATAACATCATTTTAAAGCAATATGGTAAAGGGCTTGCATTAAGCGATAATACTTAATAATTCTTTAAGTAATTCGTCTGTGTGTTTGAGACATTATCTATAATAACGCATACTTCCTTGCTAATAATAACTAAATAGACGGCGAGTTCTAAATCTGAATACAGCAACTTCAAACTTTGATCATAAATATTTTTCTTTTTTTCAAGATTGAACTAATGAATCCAAATAAATTTGTAAGGTTCATTATGCATAAATCACTTGTGTTATAGATTTATAGTAAATTTATGTTGTAGGAATTTAGTTTTAAAACTCACTTTATCGTTTAGAGTTCTGAATACGAAAAAAAATCACCTCAATCAATCTTAAGTTACACCTGTGTAATATACCTAGATACACTAACCCGTAATTAGCTTAAATAAGTAAGAACGCTGTTAAATATAATTTCTTTTTTTTTTTTGCTGTTTTCATTTTAGTAAACACGCATTTCGAGCTATATCTATTGTTGAACATCTGAAAAAAATTTTGGGTTGACGACTACTACTAATGTTCAACTCTGTAGCCTTGTCATGTTGAACCCAATCCAGAAGACAAGGAAACTCCTGGATCAAGTACTGAGGAGAAATTTGCCTTCGTGGAGAACTTTCTGATGAAACTAACCTGAATTTGAGGTACATGAAGAGGAAAACCACGAAAACCTCCCACGGTTAGCCCGACAGCAATGGGATTCTAACTCATGATCCGTCTACCACTGAAGATATTTCACGTCAACACTGTGGTCGGTGTAAGTCGGATGCGGAATTCAATTCAGAACGATCAGCCATCGCTGGGGTTCGAACACGGTTCACCTCTTTGGAAGGCGAACGCGCTATCCCCCGAGCCACCAGGTCTCGATGTCCAGATTTAAAAACTCACCGATCTAACACTTTTTAGTTAATATTTAATACTCCTTTATTTAACAGTGGTGGCTCAGAGGATAGAGCACTCGTCTACCATTGAGGTAACCGATACGAATTCCGATTCTGGCTACAGTGCTGACATAAAATATCTTCAGTGGTAGACGAATCATGGGTTAGAATTCCTTTATCATTGGACTAACCATGAGAGGTTTTCTTCTTCGTGTGACGCAAAGGGAGTTACTTCCATCAAAAAGTCCTCAACGATTGTCCCAATGGTTGATTCAGGATTCCCTTATCTTCCACTTTGAGTTCAAAATTACAAGGCTAAGGAAAGCCATAAATTCAGAATTGGGTAAGCTGTTCAATACTAGTTATAAAATAAAATACTTCTTCAATAATACTTCTAATTCATACTTTAAAAGTGTTGGTGCAAATATTATAACATTAATGTCAACAAAGTTTCAAGAGATTAATAACAGATACATTCTCAGGTTTTTATTAATATGCAATAGGAAAAGATGTTCAGCTATGTAAAAGTTTCATTTAGGAATTATTTTGAGGACTAATATGCCCAGAGAGAGAGAGCAAGTTAAAATGTTGAGATTTCTCAAGTCCCGATATATCCAATAATATATTTTCATAGCATATCCTTTATTTTGTATACTGATATATAAAAAGAGAGTTAGAAATACTTTAAAAAAAGGCAAAACAGAAGGGAAAGTAATAGTTAATTATTTATTGAACACATACCACCCAAATAAAGGAACATCCAATATAGTTTAGGCCTAGAAGATAAATAACATGTAGCACAGGCGACTAGACTTTTATAACAATAGGCTATTATACATAAGTACAGGCCTTTGAAAAAACCATAAATAATGTCACATTTGTATAAAAAAAAAAAGAATAAAACTTTTAAATAATAAAATGGAGATATATTTAAAAATAACTTAGATATGCATCCTTAGCAGAAAAAAAAAAGAATATAACAATAGAAACATTCACCAAACACAATGAGAGAAATATTTAAAAATGCAAAAACACAAATCCCATTCAAATGTTTTTACTTTTCAACATAAATCTATATAAATATAAAATTCTGTATTTATCAGGATAACAAAGTTTATAGATAATATCAACTAACTTTATACTGTAATGCATAAAGACTATGAAATAAAATGTATAATTAGAAATGTAAGAACAATTTAACTGCAATAAATAACAACTCTATAGGTGAACACTGTACTGTAATAATCTCGACTGTGTGTAATAGGGTACATAACAAATTAATTTATGGAATAATTAATGTGTTTTCCTAACTGTTACTCTGTTACCTTAAAAGTTAAATACTAATATCAACAGCAAAAATAAAACTTCTGAATTAAATGATAAAATTGAAATAATAAAGCAAAAGAGCTGCAAAACACATCTAAAATAAAGATTGAACAACTAGATTATAACTGACTAACAAGATATTATTTTTTAATCTGTGAAGTTAGAAACTGTTTTAGACTATTATTAGTAAGTTGATTTCAAAAAGCAGTGGTTTTTTGCGATGGATAACAATTTTAAAAGCATTCATTAAGTTCATTATGAATGGTTATTTTAATTAAGCAAAAGATCCTTTATTTAGAAAAGTGATTTACAAACTTTTTTAAACTAAGAGCCACCTTCCTTAAAATCTCAAGACCTAGCTATATAATTCGTTATTTAGGGAGGAAGGGATTATACCCCACTCTTTAATAAAACAAACAAACTGCATAATTTTCTATTTTTTTTCAACAAACTGCAGTTTTAAAATACATTTTTTGATACTAGCTAGTGGTTGATAAGATGAGGCGAGAAAATACGTGTTTTATAAATTTTGGGGATAATGCATTTTGTATAAAAAAGGTAATTTCAAGCGACGCTCTCTAAATTTATACTGTAAAACTAAATTTTAAAAAATGTATTATACTTCATAGCATTAATTACAATTATAACTGCCCTTATTATGAATTACTTGATTAAAAAGTTCATTTGCTTCAAAACTATACACATTGTATACGTTTCAAGCGCCCATTTTCAAGACATGAATGAGAAGAAACGAAAGATATTTGAAAAATAAAAAATATATATTATATGTTAGTTATTGTGTTTCTTCTTTTTATTATTTGTAACTTTTACTAATGTTGAAAAGTTTAAATTATGAACAAAATCAACTATATCAAGCCAGAAATTATTAATAAAACTAACTATATTTGAACTAACTATATTTGAAAATAAAATATTCAAAAAATTAAAGAAAGAAATATTAAGTAAACGCAATTAAAAGCTTAAGCAATAAAATTTATTTTAAAAAAAGTTCATTTCTATTTTAATAATTCAGACAAAATAAAATATCATAATCTACTTCAATAGTTTAGGCAAAACAAAAGATCATAATCTATTACAAGAATTTTTTACAGCAAAACCTCATGCCCAAGAATCCTCCATAAAACTTAGACAACAAATGAAATTTTGGAAAAATAAATAATAATAGAAGTAAATGTTAGCTTATATGAATTTATTGAAAGATTAATTTAGGTGAAAGAGAAGAACTAGAACTATGAAATGCATTTGTCTGTCATGAAAAAAGTATTTCATTATCAATCCTGATTTTTAGAGATTCAGTATTAAATCTTTAAAATGTTTACTTAACAATGTAAGAAACAATGAAAATTGAATCTTTCTTTTAATCATGGCATCACTCTAAAACAGTTTTTTAATAACTTTGCAACTTATAAAAGTTAAATAGAAAGAATTTTTGTACGTAGCATATTTCTGGATTAAATTATAAATTTAATTATAAAAATCAAAATCACTCAAACATTGAAGTTGTTTGTTTGACAAAAATGCTCGTTATAAAAAAATAATAAAGTAAGTACCATTTTAGAAATGATAAAATTGTTAATAACTGTTCATTGGGTATTCAAACAGTATACAATGAAAAAAAAATTATATACTAACAAGTGATAAATGGAAATAAAAACACAAGATTAATAGATTAAAGTTCTTCCAGTACAGTTCAACAAAAAACCAAAAAAAAATTATGTATTATTGTACATTTACATCATCATTTAATAATTTAATTAATCAAAATATATCTATCTAAAAATGCTACAAAATATTTAAAAAATTAAAACACTATATTTATTAGAGTGAAAAAAAAGTAGCATCTAACTCTCTACACAATTATCTAATGTGTACCAGAACAAAATTTATATGCACTTAATATATTTATAATTTAAAGGGAAAAAAAATTTAAAATAAAAATTAATATTCTTCAATTTATACTAGTTAGAAAATGAATTACAACATTACATTAATAAATAAAACTATTTGTGTCTCTAAACATTAATCTACCACGCACCATAAACAAGTTCATCAACATTTTATTATAATAATTAGTTCATACACAAGAATCGCGTGACAGGCAGGGATAGAGAAAAGTGCAAAATATCTTGGACCATTCTCACATGAATTACGAAATATACAATTATCAAATTTTTAGGTGCCTAGGCACCCAAGCTTTACCGATAGGTAAATACATTTCCATCACAAATACATTTGTTTTAATAGATCATGACATCAAAATGTAAAGTTAAAAGCCTTACAAAATAAAGTTATGCTAAAAAATAAGCTAGGCTCTATTTAACTCAAAATATACACGTAAAGAAAAATATAAATAAGAAGACAAAACCAATAAACAGCATTCAAACAAAGGGTTAAATTTGTACTGTATATGAATAAAGCTAAAACAATAAAAAAAAGGCACATAGAATGTCACATAGATAGATATATAATCTTTAAGGTACAATAAGGAAGCACCTTCTTCAGTGACAAAAAAATATAGAATAAAAGAGATGAAAAGAAATAAAAAAAGGATTTCAAGAAAATAAGAGACAACAAGATTGTTCCCTCACGTGATTGGTCAATCCCTTATTTTCGTGTAATTTTTGTTTTGTTACTAAAGAAGTACCAAAACAATTATATGTCTGATATTCTATGTATTTTTTAAAATTTGTTTTAGCTTTCTTCAATCAGCAGTACAGTGAAATATCAGTTATAAACATGTGTACTTAGGATAGTGCATTAAAGAAATTATCGAAGTATCAACCACAAAAAGTGGTCATAGAGAAGAAAGCAAACACTTGTTTAAAATTTTATATATTAAACAATAAAAAATTTGATTACCAATTTTGATTAAGTAAAATTAAAATTTAATATTTTTAAGAGTAAATAAACTTTTCTTACCATATGGAATGAAGAGAGTATAAATTCTAGCACTACAACATGAAATAAGAGTAAAAAATAATAATATTTATCTATAAATAGAGTAAGAATGCATTCAATTCACTTTACACAAGTTATCACAATTAAAAATGAATGGTTGAATGCAAAATTATATACAAACACGTACTTTATTTTCCAATTTAAAAAAGATCACTAAAAAGATTTATAATAGTCATTTCAATAAAAGTAAGGCTGCCCAATTTTTAAAAAACACTGATCACCTCATGCATTATTACACATTTTGTCCATTAAGCGCAAGCAAGTGCAATAAACTGATAAAGTGGTTGCACCATTTTATATTTAAAAGAAACATTTCATAAAGAGGTAAAAGGTAGTTAAGATGTTTATAACCGGTATGGAAACTTTGATTTTTTTTTTTGGAGAGAAATTTCAAACAAGAGAACCAGAATGGAAAATACAAACAAAATCTCTCGCGTTTAAGAAATTATTAAAAACTAAATAAATAAAAGAGAAATTATGAACATGTTTGTTAGATTAAAAATGTCTGATACAATGAAGTAAATATTTAAAATGTTCGATTGATTTAAAATATTCATACACTTAAAGGTGACATTAAATATTTCATACAGTGAAGGAAATTATCCATACAATTGGCGAAACACATATTAGTGACAAGTGAATATTCACAAATCAGAGTGATTCTCATACAGTGAGTATTCACATATCCGAATAAATCTAAAACAAACATTTCAAGCACAAATTAAGCATTTGTTTTTGTTCCTTGATCGTAACATATATGCTATTTAAATAATCATATGTTTACTAAACTAATATAAATTGGCACATCACAGGCTGCTACCTATAATAATAATAATAAGTGATCAAATGGAAAGTTGCTGGTTAATCACAAAATAAAAGTTTTTTTTTCTTTTTACACCTGAATTTCACCTTTCAGTAAGAGGTGGTCTTTTAAGGAACGGAATATATGCAGCTGCTGATCGGTTTTTAGCAACAAAACTTGCTGCAGTAACTTCTGAGGATTTGGAGCTCTGCACAAAGAAAATATAGTATATTAGTTACACAACAAATATAATAAGCCCATCTAGAAGGAAAAAAAATCATTTTAAAAACAGGCTAAATCCACTGAATTAAATGTTTTTGTCGTAGGCCATTAAGGAAAGGGATATGATTGTTTTTGTTTTCTAGTGGCGCCATGTATTGCAAAGAATTTTACTGCTGCCACACTTATACGTCACACCCGTTTATAGGGCGAACCCATTCCACAGATCCTGGTTCTGACATGAACTAGATAATGACTAATCTCCAATTCAGTTCCCCCAGAGGTTAAATTTGTTAAGGGAGCATAGAGGACTTAATGACTCTTCAGATTTAACTCGCTATTTACTACACGGGGAATCTTCGGTCGGCTGAATTCGAACTCCTGCTCTTACGAGTCCAGCACTGTGCCAACCAGACTATCCTGGCCACATAATTAAATAAATAATATAATAGGTAATTGTTTTTAAATTGGCATTCCTATGTGCTTTTCCTATTTTTTAAATTGCAAACAGTGTTTAAAACTAAAAATAATTTTATAATCAGAAAATCATTTGCTTAAGGCTTTGAAACAGAATTTTTATTAAACATATTTTTCTTACTTTTTTCATTATTTTGCAAAACTTTAGGTCAAAATAAGTGCTATTTTAACGTATAGGTCAAAATAAGTGCTATAAACGTATTATAGTATTTAGCATTTTAATAATGAATGATTATTAAATACAGAATGAAACATAGGTGTCTTTCTCTGCATTAACGATAAAATGTTGTAAACACGGTTCACTTACAGACAATGATTTCTCAAATTTGCACTTCTTCGCAGTTATTTAGATGCAAGAGAAACAGTTATTCATCACTGAAATTTCCTTAATTTACAAGATCAATTATTAATAAATTTCTGAATATGAATGAAAGCAAAGAAAAAGACTACTTTTTTCAGACTTTATAAAATCAGACTGTTTTATATTATGAAAAAGTACCAAAATATATTTTTACTTGTAATTAGAACATCAGAAAAAATATATATAAAACATACAACATAATCAACTAATATTTTAAATTTATGGCAAGTAACAGGGGAATAATATTTTGAAGTAAAAAATTATTATGATAATTTCAAATGTGAATATTTTAATTAAGAAATGAAGTGAGTTCTCAATAAATAAAATTGAATTTCATTATAGTTATGTTTACTTTTAATGCAATGAAAAAAATTTAAAAAAAAATTTTGCTTGGTATTTCTTCAAAATAGTGTTCTGTAAAAGCTTTTTGACAATAGTAAGGGGTGCCATTCCTTGCTGGTAAGTGTTTGGAGCTGCTTAAACAGGTCATTTTAAAATGCTTTGCTAACAGAGCTCACTTTGCTCACCTGTTTCACCTTATTCTTCCTTAATTTAACAAATTTTATAATTTAATAATTTTTATACATTATATGCTTCTACATAAGTTTAAATTTTTCGCCTAAAGTATATGTACTAAAAAGAATTCTGTTAGTTTATGCTTGTACCCTCACTCCCCCATCTAAACATTTCTCTAATGATTCGATTAAGATCTATTAGTAAACATAAATAATTTTTCTTAGCAATCTTTTTCTAAAATAACACTTAAAATTAGAGCTATATTGTTATTACAAATTTGGTGAGTGTACAAACATTATTTAATATTTTTGTTCACGAAACAGGCTGATACATTTTAAACACAATTAAGAGCATGAAGCTGATTGAATAGCTTAATCATTCAACAAATCTCTTTAACTGTAATTTGTCAAACACTTTATTAAATCCTGTAATACCATCGTTCAATTTTTGTGTGTAGTTAGATATTAAAAACTACAGAACACGTACATTCGAATATCATTAACCCTAGTTAACCCATGAAACTGCCAATGGTTCTATTTACATTAATTTGTTTTATCACTTTTCCTGTCCAGCACACAGTGGAAAACCACCAGTCATTTTGGAAAATCAAGATATTGGGGTCAGTTGATATTTGTAATAAAACGCAACCATACAAATCATTATTTCAATGCTAGCTAGAAATTTAAATAAAGTGAGACACATTGTTTATATTCAAATAAACTAAATTATGTGTTGAAGAAAAACTTTAATTTCAACATAAATAATTTATAACTTATATTCGCTATACATCTTTTTTACACAAAAACTATAGATATACATAATTAAATAATCTATACATACTGTGAACTTAACTTGCTATGCTTATTTCATTTTTTTGAATTACAATTTATTACTCAAGCCCTTAAACATTAACTTCTATACTAGAATTTAGATAATTAGAATCTGTTTACTAACTTTTAGCATCTTCAACAAAAAATTGACATCTTGCCAGTTCAGAATTAAATATATGAATTTCATTAAAAGATATAAACTTTGAAATATATCCTTAATCTTAATAACTAATAAAAATTGATTCATCAAAAAGTTCATAAGTTCTTTTTTTTAAAATCTTCATAAGAGTAAACATCAGAAAAAAATTATTATTTTACTCTTAGTTTTCCTTTACAGTAAAAAATTAAAAAACTGTCAAAATAAATCATTTACTCATTTCAAAACTAATATGATATTTAAACAAAGTGAGATGTCTTGTTCATTTCCAGACATATGAGAACGAGGTTAAAAAGTCCCTAATTCCTTTATCATTACTTTCTGCTTACCAAAATATGAGTAATTACCTAAAAAATTAATGATCTCATTGCGAACAATTTTCATGCAAGAATGCCCCTTAAACATTTGTAACATAAACTATGCCAAATTTCATATTTTTTCATCCAACAATTTTGGTGTTATGAAATTGCGGACCCAATAGCATGTGAAAAAGAATTGAAAATTTTTTGAAGCCACATTGATGACTATTTTTCAATAATGTTACAATTTTGATCATAACAAAATTTAAGAAGATATATAATTTAAAATTCATAGAAAATTAAGATACAAAATACTAAAGTATAAATTTTCCGACCACTTCATGAACAAGAGAAAAATCTCCTTCAAAAAGCAGAAGTTAACAAATATGCATAAGATTGAAAAAAAATGATATCTGATATAATGATCATATTGAGAAAAAAAAAGTTAATCCACATGATATCTTTTTTCTATGCATTATCCAAACAGTATTTTAATTTAAAAAAATTTACGACAAATACGTACCTTATAAAACTCGAGATATAAACATTTACGAAAGTGGCCATCAAGAACTGGCAATCAAATCGATCCATAATTCCACCATGGCCGGGAATGATATCACCAAAATCCTAAAATAAAAATAGAGTCAATAAGAAAGGTAGAATATATGGTATCTGATTTATATTTAATATAATAGTAAATATAATAAAATAAAATTGTAAAAAAAAACTTAATATTTAAAATAGTCAAATATAAAAAAAATGACAAAAAATTATTAAAACAACTTAGACTTCCATAATTGGTTGAGTAAAATTAAAAGATGGTTTTAAAAATATAACTAGTACACAAATCAATGAAGCAAAATATGTCAATAGTGTACCAATGGAGCGTTTTTAATTCAACAAAGCTTACTATATAATTTAAGCTACTGCTTCAAACTACTAGCATGAAGTTAAATGAAAATTTCTAAAATATAGCAGTCTCTTGCAGTTTCAACACATTTTAGAAAATTTCAACTACAATTAACTTTAATAACATAGCCATCAATACAACAAGTAATGTATCATTGAAATTACCTTTATCTTAAAAGCCCTTTTGAATCCACTAGCAAAAAATCCACCAAATGGACCAATGATGGAACTGAACATCGACAGGGAAATGGAGTGAAGAACAAATGGATACATGGTTATCTTGGATGGGAAACCTAACTAAAATTAAAATTAACTATTTTAAAACTGACATTAAAATTTTACATGGGAAATTCATAGTAAAATTGCACACTAGCTCATCCAGGTTTGACTGAGAAACAAAAGAGGCTGCTGATCACATGTTGTACAGACTCCCTCACTCTTTCTCTCTCTATTTATATACCCACATAAGTATATATAATGGAAAATTTCATGCAATTTTGAAATTGGTGTTGGCAAAAGTCATTAATTTTAAAAAAAATTTGATTTTTTTAGATTGTGTTAGATTTTTTTTTTGATCACATTCAGCAATTAAAGATCAGGTGAAATATTTTATTAATGCTTAATATTAATAAAAAACAGCTTGATAAACCATTAATCAAAGATATAGACACATCTCCATACTATCCTTTAAAAATGAAAATAAATGCAAAAATAAAGTATTGTGTAAAAAAGCCTATATATAATAGAAAGAAATTTAAAGACACTTTTATCACAATAAATAATAATTTATATTAATAATGAAATACCTAACGGCATACATAGTTCAATTTTATAAAAAAAATTATGACAGCATGCTATTCTTTTTATTTAAAAAAGAACTATAATTTATTTCATTCTACACAATTACATTGAAACTCTTTGAAACGTTAACCAAGTTTTGATCGAAAACAATCTGTCTACTTCTTTCTCTTTTTTCCCCCTTCTCTCAAAAGGCTTTTTACTTGAATTTCTCAATTTTATAAATTAAAGAAAAGAATATATTTAAATTAAAAAATTCCTGAAATGGTAAATGTACTAGCAAGGAAGGTCAAGAGTGCATCCTTGGATATCTACAAAATTAAATTTGTGTTTAATCATTAATACAGTAATAACTACATAGAACAAGTAAATATTATGAGTCCGCTATTATGATACATTTCTAAGTTATCCCCAAACTGCTAATGTGAGAGAAACAAAAATTACTAGCCTATTAGAAAAACTTGTTTTGAAAGAAAAAAAAAATTTTATGCTTAAGAAAGCAACATGATAAAAGTTCAAATAGTGCTTTTTCATTCATTTATATCAATACAGAAAAAGGAACACCATTTCTTTCTTACAATTTTAACCTGAATGTTATTTTGAAGTAAACCTGTGTTTAGCTACTGGCCAACTTATCTCCCTCCTTACAAAAGAAAAATTCTGCGGTTATTTTTAGGATTCTGCTGTAAAAAAATGCACTTTCGTTGATATCTCTTATTTCCCTTCTTAGCAGCATACTATTGAAACCAATATTCAGTCTCATTACAAGCGCTTCATTTAATTTCTTCCCTTGTATCTTGCAAAAAACATCAAGTCTGTCAAAAGAAATCTACTCTTCATATGCATTTTAAATTAAAATATCTGTTCTAAGTAAAAGGGCAAAATAATATTTCATCATTTAAAAGCTATTTTAATAATTATGTTTATTTATTGAAACAAAATATTCTATCTACCATTGGGAATTTTTACTGAACAGTAGAACTTCAATTATCTAACCCTCTCAAGACCAGGAATTGAAACTGAGGATCTTTTCATGCTGGCTTTTTAATAAGTTAAACAGAATAAGTAGTGGCTATAATAAAATTTTAAAAAGAAAAACCACACCTGTAGAATTAGTCGCAAAAAACAGTAATTGGACAGCATCCGGTGAAATGAAGGTTAAACTTTTAATGCTAATTATTAAGAGCAAGCATGGGATTGCTATTGTTTTTCTTTTATTTTGAGCAACTCTAGTTCAATTGAAACAGAAGAACTAAATAATTTTGAAGGGGCAAAATAATTAACGTGATTAAACGAAATAATTGACGTGATATTGCTTCAAGGAAAAATAAATAAATAAATAAAATAACAATAGAAAAGGACAAAATTTTGAAGAGGTTTTATCTCTCTTTAAATTTTGCATTCTAGTCTTTTGGAGATGGCTGGTACAACAGTTGCTCCTAAGTCTTTTTTTTTAATGTTGTTATAAAAGTAAGTGATATCTAAGAGACATGTTTTACTGAGAGACATGTTATATTGAGAGAGATATTATGTTGATGATGAAACAAATATGGTATCACAATGTCTCTTATATGAAGATCAAGGGGGAAGAAAGGTTTCTGTCTATTTTTCTCAAAATGACAATCGGGTCTCTATCTGTTGCCAAGATTTTACTAAGTTTTGGTAAATCTATAATGTAAAAAATCAATTGTCCCTGAGAGTAATTACATAGTAAAGATGGGAGAAACGATTTGCTTTTTCTCAGAAGCAGCTTTCATGGTTGTTACTATTATTGTTTAACTACAAACACTTTGTTGTTATAGTTCTTATCTCCTGACAATAATAAAAGACAACAGTATTAAACACTTGTTATACTCAAATTCTGTGAAATTAAGATGTCAAGTCAGTAAAAATAATGAAGATAATCTCAAATACATACCAGCCCAAAAAATGTTTGGAAAGGTCCGGGTAAGCTGTAATCAGTCAACTGAAAGAGTGGGGAGGGTGTACAGTCCATCGTTACTTTTTGTAAAGTCTCTGAATAAGCTATTGGACACACAAAATATTCTAACTGGCAAAGGAAATGGGACATCTGGAATATAAAAATACTTGAACTGAGAGTCCAGCAAAATAAACTAATTAGTTTTGTTTTCCTTTTGAAATAAAGTTAAGTATAAATGATCATTAAAGATGTTTTGAAAAGTCCAACTCCGAAATTAAAAATCCTATATTCTTACTTAGAATAACATCTACCCATAAAGTCATTAGGGTAGACAGTTTTATGAAGTATAGCTGTAGAACTCATTTTAACAAGAACCTAACAATCAAAACAATTTGTAATTGTAAAACCTGAGTCAACCAAAATTGTCAAGAAGTGAACTTGAACATGTTAAACCCAATGGTGGTTTTGACATTTTCTTTCTACTGTCTTCAAATGATTACATTTTTTTAAATACTAATTGTGGTTAAGGATAATATTTCCTCTTATAAGAAAAGTTCAGTACGAGTGGTTGTTTTTAGCCTATCTAATTTTATATAGGTGAGTGTTTTGGGACACAAAAATCTGAGGATTTTTCTAACTGGATTTGAAAGGATAAAAAAATTATGACTTTCTATGAGCAGAGTTGTCAGTGGGTCAAATTTAGCTAACATTTTACAACTTTTAATGACACTGATCGTCAAAACATTAGAGTGATTTTTTATGATTGAATTTTGATAATTGCGTGTTAAATACATTATCTAAGATTTATCATTCCAAAAAAATTAATAATTTCACAGCTAACTGGATGTTCTTGGATGCAGATTACTGTAGTTTTATAGTTTTGTAGTAATGGTTGACTTTGTTTCTAAAAGGTTGACTTAAGCATAAAATATTCCTGCTATATGATCTCAAACTCATAAGGTTCCAAAAAGTATAGAATTTGGTATTTGAAAATTAAAAAGAAGACCATTGATACGAACATGTAGCCTACGAACTCAGCGCACAGCTGATCGTTTATAAACAAGATGGCATGTTAAAGTTGACCTAAATTTCTCCACATAAGCTAGACCGTTAATTAACATGAAGTTAATTAAATACAATGCCATATCCCACATCAAATTTGTTAAAATATAATTCTTTCTCATCTACATCTTTTACTTAATTTAGATTTGTTATTTGTTTATATATTTTATTGTAACCGTGATATATTTTTGCTTTTTGTACCTGGTAACTTCAACGCATAATTAGTTTGTTTATGTTTTGCATGGTTTCATGTTAAATAAGAAATATACAGTGAAAGAATATAGAATGTGCCACTTAACGATACTTGACGTACTAGGCTAACTTGAAATAGAATGGAAAGAACAGTTGCTAACATAAGCAAATGCAACGCTTCAACTACCAATTAAGATTAAGATAGTCACACTGCGTCATTTGCAGGTATTCCATTATTTGAAGCTATCATATTAACATCTGTAAAAATCTTACATTTACTTTTATTATGTCTTTATTAAATAATATCTTTTCATGACTCAAAATTATTTTCATTTTTGATTAAATAAATTTCTAATATATTATTGTCTAATCCCTTCCCTCTTAATGTTGAGTTGATGCCAATTTCCTAGCAAATCAGCATCAGGTAACGCATATTAGAAAAATTAGATAATAAAAAGGCACTCAAATGTATGACCATCAGTAGGTATAGAATCTGTTCCTGATTTTCAAGACTACAGATTCTGTCAGTTATTCAAAATTTGTGATTCTAGGCAAATGGCATAATTTGTGATCACATAATTTACAATGTTTCTCTTTATTAATTATCTATCAACAATCTACTAACATGTTTTGAACTAGTTGGATTAAATTGGTGCTTTTTAACACTTTCAAAAGGAATGAAATTTGTATGAACAAATGGATACTTTTTCTGATAGCTGCAATAAAATAATTTTTAAGAAATTTTGAAAAAATCCCTTGTTACATTAGAGCTGGTATTAACAGATTCAGTTATATATATATATATTTTTAGAATCCACATTTAACCTTCATTAAGCATTTCCAGGTGTAACATAAGATCTCATTAATTTTTACTCACAATAAAATGGTTCAACTTTACTAGTAAAAAGAAATAATTTTTATTTAAATGAGCAAAACAAGATGATGCCTATTTAATAGGTATATTTTAAATGTTTTTCCAAATTTCAAAATTAATAAAAAAAAATTTCCTTACTTAATTTCGTATAAATTACATTTTGCTATGTTAGATACTTTTAAGAGAGTTAACTCCATTAGAAGCAGTTTTATTTTAAAGTAATTTTTTAGAGCTATTGATAATTGATATTGAAAGAATTATTATTATTGATTTAATTGAGGAATAAAAAGCAGAGAAGAATACATATTTATCTTGATTGATGCTAGCAGCTTAACTACTTCAATATGGCTCAAAATATTTTAAAAGAGTACACATTATAAAGACAAAAAAGATAAGTTAAAAAATCTTAAATTGCAAAACAATAAAAAAATTGCAAAACAATTTTTTTTTCTAGTTAGCTAAGATTAAATAGAATGAAAAAAAAAGAAGAAACCAAAAATTTTAAGATATATTTTCATTTCACTTTTAAAAATATATCAACTTTCAAAAATTGGGAGAACTGCATTATTAATAATTTTAAAAAAAATTTAAAAAAAAAAATCCTGAGTAAATTTTAAAGTTTCCAAAAAACAGAACACACAAGATATAAACATATATGAAACGATACCAACTTTGATCACAACAAAGTTTTAATTAATGTTTACATGGTAGAAAATAATTTAAATGCCTTATGAACCCAAGTCTCTAGAATAAAAACAAACATGCCATTAATAGAAGTCTTCATGAAAACAAAATTGGTTAGAAAATTTTAACTGGATTTATTAGGAACATAAAAAAACAAGCCTTCTATTATTTACTAAAATTAAGAGTCATAATTGTCAACTTAATGGAATTGATGCAGAACTTTAATGTAACTGAAGATAAAAATAAAGTTTAAAACTACATAAAGCTCCCAAGTAGTTCGAAAATGTGAGAATGAATGAAAATGAACATAAAGATTCAGATAACAACAAGATCAATGAACATAAAGATAACATAAAATCAGAATGGAAGAAGTTTTAAAACAGCTGTTGGCATTGTTTTAAAAATTTTTTTACTCACCAGCATTCCAAAAACAACAGTCGAAATCCAACCTCCAATAAAGCCTTCCCAAGTTTTTTTTGGTGATAGTTTAATCAAAGGTGTTTTACCAAAGAAAAATCCAAACATATAAGCCATTACATCATTGCATATGATCATTGAGACTGGGACAATAAACCTGTTAAAAATATATGTGATACAATTATATACAAAAAATCAATACTAAGACAATTGATGAAGATTCTACAAAAAGTACTTTATACCTTTGCAATTTTTTGTTTAGTCCAACACATATAACTTTATTAAGAATAATGAATAATTGATTTTTTCAAAGGAATTTCTACTTATATTACTCCTAAGTTCTTGTCTATGTAAGTACAATTGCCAATACAATTAATAGTAAAAACAATCGGCAGATATATCTTGTCGGATATATCAGGTAAATGGAAATCTTGAAACGTATTATTTGGCAGCAATGACATGTTAAAAAACCAACAGTTGTTATTAATTTGACTATGAAGTAGTTGAATAAATTTATTTGCAATCATTTTTGAAAACTACTGTTGTAACTTCTTCAAAACAAGTTTGTTGCATAGAATTAAATTAAGAAAAAAGAAGAAAAAAAAGCCAGCATAACCTATCATTATACTTTCAAATCAATTAAAGAACAAAATAGCTTAACCTTTTGTTTACAAGGCTTAGCATGATGAAGTTAGTTTGCCCCACTTATTGTACCAGCCGTAAGCAAAGGGTTAAAAAGTTTTTGCATCAGATTTGACTCTATTGACAAGATTAAAATTTCTAAGTTTCTTGGCTAAATGTTAAAGGATTTTTTTTAAATAACATTGTTCTAAAAGTTTATATTCCAAAAAAATAATAATTGAAACCAATGTCAAGTTCAACATACTTAAGTATAAACATTGTTGACTAGTATTATTGTAATGTAATACTTAAAAACGTGGCTGTAACAATGTTTCACAACATGACATCAACTTTAAAAAAAATTTAAATACAGCGCATCTTTCTTTGCATTTTAAACACAAAAGCTGGAGAAAAAAAATTATGAATACATATATGAAGTAGGCATGTCAAACTTTAAAGTTTTGAACATCAATTAATTATTTATTTATGAAGAGAACTAGTTTTACTCTTTCTCTTCAGCATTAAGAATTATTTAAGAAATAAAACATTTAATGAATAGCAATTTTCATTTCTATTCATGGATTATGGTTTACTAACTCCTTCACCTCCCCAGGGTTTATAATTTTATATAAAGTGGGGACTGGATGGGGAGTATCTGATGGAAGAAGCTGTTTATCCATCATCATTTCTAGGCCATGGATTATTCATCTCTCCCCGAGTTGATAAATTAATACAAAGTACTTCCTTTACTTGAACAGGCTTAGTTGTATCCTATATATTGCTAAAATGTCAGATATTATTACGAACAATACATTTTTAATGAAAGGAATAAAATATGTTCTCACCATATGAGACCTTCAAACAAGTTTTGCATAATAAAATAAGACTGTGTAACTACTATAAGAAGTGTAACATGAGTCCAAGCAAACTGTAATGAAATAATTAGAAATTAAATCAAATAAATTGACAGAAAATATAGAACAATTTTTAATAAGCTCATTGAAGTCAAATCAACTTACTAGAGAAAACTGTTTCATATAATACTTTTTAACAAGACTGAGTACAAACCAGACAAATCCAGTGATATACAAACTGAAGGAAATAAAGCGATGATAAGTCACCAACGGTCTTAGGAAATCCTATAAATTGATAACACTGTTTTAAATAGCATAGCTAAACTATAAAATCACATCATGTTAGTTAAGGAAAACTAAAATAGAAACAAATGTATGCTAAGGTTATTTCATCAAATATCTGCACTACTGACACAATTAGAAAAAGATTAACCGATTAAACATTATTTGTATTTTAACTTCGATACTTTTCATAGAAAAACATTTTTTGTTGTAAAATTATATTGCAACATATAACAACCTAATAGACTAAATTCAGTTTAGCAAAAACTATACTTACAAAATATGATGTAAATAAGAAAAACAAATAATTATAAAGATGACTTCCCCTCATTAAAATGAATACATTCCACACAAAAATTGTTGCAATTTTCAGAATGTTAGCAACAATTAGTTTCAAAACTATTTTGGGACTTTTTTCTCATGTTTTATATAGAGTAGATCTAATGATCAGGTTTTCATGTGTACCAAGAATCTTATTGGGTTGAGGGGATGGCACACACTTGATATACTAAATTAATAGTACAGAATATAATAAAGAAACAAAATCAGTCACAAAAATATATATTTTTTTAATAAAGATAGCACTTTCTTTCACAAATTCAAATAAAAAATTCTCAAAATATAGGAGTAGAGGTAAAATTTATATTTTGAATCAAATCTGTTAAATAGTCTTAAAAGATAAAACAATTCACAATTTCAAATTTTATCAAAAAATGAATGCATTAAAATTAATTTAATTAATTCAATTTTAAACAGCAAACATTCAAATCTAAGTGCATGATTCTTAAACATTAATAAATTTAAATGCATAGTAGGGATGGAACAAATAGTAAATGGGCTGATAAGCAAAATATTTTCTTTTAAAAAAACATTAATAAATATTAATTTTTATATATAAATAATTTTTGTCGCAATTGAAAAATAATGAAAACTTAGCTACATTATTGATATTGGGTTAAGGGAAAAAAACTAGTATAGTTATCCATTCAAAATATTTAAGATAAAAAAAAACTGATTAACAGTTATTAAAAAAAGGAAATAAATTTTTAAAATTAAAAAAAATAGGGGAAAAAATGCCCACAGAACGTTAAAAGAAGTACAGTTTATTAAAAACGCTTTTAAAAAAGCCAGGTTACCTTAAAAGACGCCCATAAAGAAGATAAGATACAAAACCAAAACCGAAAAAGAAAAAGTTGATCTTAATTTTTGAAATAAAATTTTAAAACTGAACATCTGTTTTCCAATTACTGTTATTGTAAAGAAAAAAATAAAGTTTAATCCAAACCCTCTTAATTACTGCATCATAATAAAAACATATATTAAAACAAAAGTTTTGAAAAAAAGAAAAAAAAGCTAGATAGAAATTAAAAGAAAAATTAATTTAATTTTTTCCTTTTGACATACTTTTAAAGAAAAAGTGATGATAAAAGAATAGAGTGATTAGAAACTCTCTTTAAAAAATCCTGTGACACAAAAAAAAAATGCAGATAAAAATAAAAGTTAATAAAAAAAGCCATAAGAGAAAAAGAAAAGAATTGTTCTTAGTTCTTAAAATATAACTCTAACATTGAAAACAGCAGCTTTCTATGTTATCTGTCTTACTGTGTAAGAAAAAAAGTGATAATAATATAATATAGTCTATCAGAAACGCTCCATCTAAATGCTGCACTATAATAAAAAGAGAAAAATAGCTAAAAAAAAAAAATTTAAGAACAAAACATTATCAATTCTTCCAACACAAACTACTGAAAAAAAGATCAAATTGGTTTACTGGAATTTAAAATAAAAGAAAAATAATAATAAAAAAATCAGTAGAACAATCTCATGGTTGAGTATACCTTAAATTTTCTATTTGTTTTTCAGAACATAAATTTGCAAGTTTTAGAACTTAACAAACATCTGCAAAAACTGTATAGTGAAAAATATTTTTTCGAAAAATACTTTGCAGAATATTTGGAAAAAAATGAGACAAACTGAAAATTCTGCAAAAGGGCCGAATCGTGGAGATAAATTCCTTATATCCCTAATGCAAAATATTCAAAGTTTAATATTATATTTACAAAATAATTAAAAAGTATTAAGGTAATGTCTGATTACTTTTAATAAGTCTTGTAAAATTTCCCCCAACAATATTTTTTCCTTGCTATAAAATGATATAGACATAGCGAATGACAATATTTTAATTTCGTTTACTTTTTTGAAAACAAAAACAAGTACTATATTAATAAGCATTTTTAAATAGGCATCTATTCTAATTCTTTTTCATTTCTACATAGACTTGTAAAATTATTGAAACTGATAAAAAATTTATAAGTGGGAAGTTTTTTTTCTTTTTTTTTGTGAAATTAAAATTTACATAGCTTTATTTTTGCAAGAGAATTCTGTCTGAGATGGGGATAAAAATGCTAACTGAAATTTTTAAAGATCAAAATGACAGCACAAAGCAAAATAAATAGCACATAAAATTATTTTAAAATTACAAATATATTCCATCAGTGATAATACAAATACAAAAATAAATTATTGAGATTGATGGAAATTGCTCACTGCTCGATTGAGAAGAACTCCAAAATAATCCACAATAGCTTCACCATGTAGGAAATAATTGGAAGTGATTAAAAAGTACCACGAAAGGGACCGGAACCATGGTAGACCATGAATGCGATATACTGCATACCCAATTGATATAATTTCTTGGAAACATTTGACTTGCACAACTAAAGTCTGAAATACAAATTAAACATTAAAAAGAGTTTCCACCTGCATACAGTGAACTATTTACACTGCATATGATGCTGATTAAATTTACAGTTTTAAACATACAATAAGTTAAAAAAAGTAAAGTATACATAGAAAAGGGTTAGATATGCTACGAAAACACATACATGTGAAATAAAGGCTTAACGTGATATTTATTGAATTAACTCAAGACAATGTTGTACAGGGAAGGGGCACTTGATTGACTACAAGCTGAATCTTAGTTCGGAACTACAGACAGATGAGTGCACAATTAATGAGTTTTGTTTAAAAGTGAATGATACCATTTAAAGAATGACTATCGTAAAATTTATGGATGTAAAAAAAAAAAAGTTTTGTGTGTGCAAACTTGCAAAATTAATTTCATACGTAATGAAATAACACATGACAATATTGTACAATTATGAGGCACTTGATTGACTAAAAGTTGAATTTCAGTCATGAACTACAGACAGATGGTGCACAATTAATGAGTTTTGTTTCGATATGAATGAAATCATTTTAAAGAATGATTTGTAATTTTAAGCTTCAGTAATATTTTACCCTAAGCCCTAAGATTTTGATGACTAAATTTTTGTAAAGAACTTTAAAATGTATGATGACAATTTAACCCCTTCGAACATGGCTTTCAGTATGTTGGACAATAACTTTAATTCATATTAACTTAACTGATAATCATCAGACTGATGATGATGATACTTTTGATCTCTAAAGGGGATGTCTTGAAGCTACAGGGCTTATTCTAACTGAAGGAGAAATCTTGAAGGTATAGGGCATATTCCAAATGAAGGGAATATCTATAAAAATATTCTGAATAAATGATACTTAGAGAGAATGTTGATATCAGGGCAAATGAGTCACATAATAGTTCTTAAGAGTCTTTTGTAATGTTTAAAATTAAATCATAATTTTATCTAATATATAAAATTTTTGACTGTCATTGTTAGACTAAGTTTAAACATATTTCCTAAGTGTATGACACCATTTTAAAAAATGACTCTTATACCAAAATATTGTTTTCCAAAGAATGTAGGTTTTACTGTGTAAATGCATAAAATTATTTTCTAGAGTATACAATAAAGTTAAAATTTAGTCAAAAGAAAATATGACAAAAGAAAAAAAAACTATCTGCTAATTTCAGACAAAATTGCAAATCATTTTTGAATTATATGTAATCATTTTTTCATTAGCTTGTTTTCAGGATCCTGACATTGAAAAATATCCACTAATATTAAATTTTTGAGCAAAACAGTTTGAAAAACAATTTACTACAGTAAAATTATTATTTTCTATAAAAAAATTTATGCAGCAACCTAAAAATTATATTTTTTACAAACAATGTTATATAAATCAAATGATCTGTTGTGCACCTGCCTCTTATGCTTGATTATTTTTTCTTTTCGCCAACCACTTTTAGCTCATTTTTAATGGTGTGCTTTAATCCTATTCTGAAAATGCAATCAAATATTGCAACCCTATAAAATTTGTAGTTCAATTGTATCACGGTAGTTTTTAACACAAAATATGCATTTCATAGATAACTGCAGATTAATATCATATGTTAGCCACAGGTAAATGTTTTGTTGTGCGCCTGCACTCTATAGCAAAAACTAAATAAAATATTGCAAACTCATGAAATTGCAAGCCAACAGTGTAGGGTATACCGGGCAGTAGCATTTAACCTTAAAAAACATCAGTGAAGCATTTAACCTTAAAAAACATCAGTAAAAACACCAGTGAAAAATATAATGGCACTGAAAGAGCAAAAGTAAAACCCAACTATTAAAAAGATAAGCATCTATTATACATATAGATTGTACATTGAGAAAATAACTTATTTTATAATGATAGACATATTTTGTTATATCTCTGCTCCAAATTTCATAAAAATATAACAATATTTAAACACAAAATTATTATTTAATGACTGTAAACATACATAAAAAAGATATAATAATAAACAAGTTGAAGTAATTCACGTTTAAAAAATTGTATCCTATTTTTTTCTCTATAATACTTATAAAAAATACATTATAACAGTTTCTTATTCTCTTTTAAACAAATTCACAACAAAAGTGTGATTAATTAATGACAAATTAATTAATTACATACAAAAAAATTTACAACTTAACGCACACGCAACTTGTAGGGCCATTTAAAACAAAATGTCTGTAATTAAAATTAGTCTCGTACTTGCATCATTTCAAGCAATTTGTACTGCACATCACTTCATAACTAATTTTGAACATTCTTAATTTATCTGCGTGGTGTAAATAGATTGAAAAAAAAAACTGGGCAGTTCCTTAACTGTAAAAAATATCAATAATTTAAAATTTCTTGGCAAGTTTATGTCTGTCTATCAAACTTAAAATATACATGGATTACTATTTTGTGTAGCCTATTATTTCTAACTCCACTCCCACTCTCTGAATCACTACATCACTAAAACCCAATTTTCTCACACTGAACAATGATGACAAAAAGAGAGTAATTTAAATTTATTTATAAAATTTTTTTAAATTAAACTTTTAAATGATTAATTATCAATCATTGATGGGGAAAAAGAGGAGAGAAGATAAAAAAATAATTTTGTTACTTGAAAAATATTAATAAATCTCTCAAAAACTTATATTCTAATAATTTATGTTTCACAACTTTTGTTTATATAATAGGTACATATATAGATTTTATAATTAAAAAAACAAATAAACTTACAACTGCAACCAAAGCTAGAGGTCCAGCCCAAATAAGAGCAAAAAACCCGAATATCATAAGCCATGTAAAAATTCCACGAACTATCCAGTTCCTCCATCTGGAAAATTATTTTTAAAAAAATTAATTGAGATTTAGTAAAGAATAGAAAAAATAAAAAAAAAGATTCCTTACCTTGTTGGGAGAGTTGATAGTGCAGAGTCTAATATTTCAGTTGTTTTATCAGAAGCCTGAGGCAGTTGTTTCACAAGAGATTCAACAACCGCTTCATCTGGAATGTGCTCTTCATCAGAATCATCAGCATCTTCATTCTTTACTTCTTCCGGTTTAACTGACTGTCAAAGTTTTAGAATTATTAGAACTCAATTTAAAACATAATTATTAATAAGTACTTGAATAATATACTGTCTTTTAACAATGTATAATACATATATTTAAACTAGAAAGTAGAATATACTGTCTTAAATGCGACTGAAGGTAAACTGTTAGACTCATAATGAGCAACTCTAAAAAAATAGTATTCTTTGAATAATATACTATATCTTATCTTTTAATTATAACATAAAATATACTATCTTTTAACTATCTTAAATAGGACAGAAGGTAAACTGGTGAAACGAAAACTCAATTAAAACTAAATATGAGCAACTTCTGGAAATGGCCAGATGAACACTTTAAGATTGCTCTAAGAAAGAAATTATTCTTGGTGTAAAAATGAGTGCACTATCTCCAATGGTAGCCACCCAGCTTCAAATGAATAGGTACTTGCTTGTTTAGAAAGTAATGACAGGTTATCCAGATAATACTATGAGTCAGGAAAGGAATGATATGGGAAAATATTTTATACTGTTCAAAACTTTTAAAATCTTAAACCAAAAAATAATCTGCAAATATACAGGCTAAAAAGAGCATTTTCAAAAATTTCTGTTGAATTAGAAAGACAAAAATACAACAATAACAACACATAATTTTTAATTTACTTCCACTTGTATTTATTTTTAATTTGGAACACGATGTCAATTATGTGATAAATTATTAACTTGAACATTAAAAAATTTATTTTTAAATCTTGATTAATATATTAGAAATAAGTAACAATAAATAAACACTTTGTTCCCATTATTCTCTGTTCATATATTTTAGCTCAAAATATACTTATTTTTGAAATACATTTTTTTAGCTAATTTCTTTCATTGATTTACTTAAATTTATTCATTAAAGAGACTACAGTTTAAACAGTATTACGTAGTTTCTTAATTTTCACAAAACTAAAAATGATCAAACAGAAGAAATCTCAAAAGCATAGTTAATTGTATTGTTAAAACTGTTAGATCAGCAGTTTAACTAAAGAAAAATCAACAAAAAGGTCAGAATTTAAGTTCATTTCTAATCTTTTCCTTAAAAATAGATACGAAAGATAAATAAACTCATATAAAGCAAATATTAATGTTAAGGGTACTTACAGGTTCTTAGATATTATTTTTTTAATGTAATACTATTTTGTTTACACTGAGAATAGTCAATGAAATAAAATGATAAGAGTAATTTCTAAGCATGTGTTGTATATTTTCTTAATAAAATAAGAGGTCGCAATAATATATTGAAAAGAAATTTTATTTTTTAATTTTAAAACTAACTTGGTTAAAATATACTTATAATTCATTATTAAACAATTTTTTGATTCTTCAAAATAATAAAGGCTTAAAAAAATAATATATTTTTATTTAAAATCCTTTATAAACACAATTTTGAAATAATAATACAAAAAGTTTAACCAATTAGTTACTAAAAACTGTATTTTCAAAACGTAAACAATACATACACTTATTTACCCCAAAGAAAATTAACAAAACCATTACCTCACGAATTCATGCTGTTAGTTTAATAGTTTAAAAAAAATATCAATGCGAGACTTACTATATCAGTTTCGAGGTTTATAAAAGCAGAAAATCTCCGACGAATCCCAAAAATATCATCGGAAGCCATATCATGTCCGATGGCCAAGCGCCGACATGAGCTTCAATAGCTTCATAATATTAAATCTAAGTAAAACATGCAAATTAAAAACAGTAGGAAGCAAATACTACTCGTCGGGCATGGATCTTAAATTAAGGATAAATTAGATTCAATGTATATGCTTCTTACGTCAACAGGAATAATACTTCTGTCAGAAATGTTGACTTCCTGAAATAAAAAAAAGCGAAGGTTTGTTTACATTACTAAACTGAATTAAAAAACAGATATTCACCTCTCCAGCGCCCATTTTTATAGGTTCAACATTACGCTGACGTAATTCAGCCATATCACGTTTAGTATTGAGAAAATTCTGTAAGTCAATAGATTTAAAATATAAGGAATTCACTCAGTCTGAATTTTTCATTATCGTAATCCCATCAAACAACAAAGCGAAAGTGCTGCTGCAATGCCAAACAGCTGAAAGTGTTGCCATACGAAACTTTTCTATTTTCGATTAAATAATCCTCCGAAAAACGCAGTGGCCAAGAGATTATGGATTCTGATTNGCTGCAAGCTCGGTACCGCCTAAATTTCCGGGTTACTGTTTCCGTTGTATTTTAAAGCCATTTGGCATCATTGTGTTTTGAGATTCTTGCAAACAATGTATTTGATTACTTATTACTTGTGTTTACAATGCTAACAATACTGGTGTTTACAATGCTAAAAGTGTTAACACTAACGTAAGATGGTGCACAGCTTGCAACAAGAAGAAACATTAATAAACTTATGGAAAGAGGCCATATCAAGATTGCCAAAAAAGCGAGTTATTCAAAATCTAGCAACCATGTCACCTATTTCAACAATATATCTCTAAAAAACTAAAACAAATTTTCACTTCAAACTCACCAGAATTACATATTAACATTAATATCGTATGAAATATGGCAGATTTGAGCTCAGAAATTATCTAATTTATTTCTTTTATTGAAAACAAAATTATTCATTTGAAAACATCGCCTATCAGAATAACATGTAGTAAGCAGCTGTAAACTTTTTAACCGTAACTAGAGTAGGTGCCGAGTTCGAGATTGGCATTGTTTACATTTCTATTGAAAACACCACCCATAGATATGTCTAATTTGACGTCATTTCCCTTACCTGTCCACTGGAAACCATCAATGATCAATCTGTAACAGATGCAACCACTAGAAATAGATTGAATGGTAAGAAATTGATTGAATGATAGTGGTATACTGATTTAATTCAGTCTCTGACTTGGACATCTCTGCAGTTCATTGAACGAAAGAAAGGTTAAATTTTACGCTTATTTCCTTTGGAATTACAAAAGAATATTTATTATTATTATTATTATCTACCTCCCGTAAACTTTTTCCGTAGTCGAAGGCTCCTGTGTGAATCTAGTTTCCAGAAAACACAGGCGTCGTTAAAGGGGGGGGGGCTGGGTATATATGCCTCTCAATAATTAGAAATCCCAAAGTCTCACTCAATATGTCACATAGATAACTAAATTTTTCATTCATCATACACGATTTCATGAAATGTGAAACTAATTAGTTTTTTTAATTAGTTTTACATTTGATTACATTAAAGAAATTAATTTTTTTGTGCACTTACGGAAATTGATTGTTATTGTTGTTCATTTACGTCGCACTAGAGCTGCACAATGGGCTATTGGCGACGGTCTGGGAAACATCCCTGATGATGAGCTTCTCACGAATCCNCTCAGCAAACCATGCTGCACCCCCGCTTCGGTAGCCCGACGACCTGCACGCGAAGTCGAGCACTTTACGGTAGAACAGTTTAACGAGGACCAATACCGCACACTCTCGATCCCTACGCAGGCTGATCCAAGTGGTCACCCACCCGCACACTGATAGTAGCCAGTGATGCGATCTGTTGGGAACCGTGTCTTAACGATCAGTCCACTGCGAGACATACGGAAATTGAAGAAATATTTTTTGCTATGGGTGAAATTTAGAGAATTAGTGGTTGGGTATTTTAATCCCCTCAAAATTTGGACACCTGCAACGCTCATGCCAGAAAATCTTCTAATCTTTCGTGACTGAAAGTCCTCTCGTTGATCGTGATATGGAAGTTTAGAGAAAGTTTACCGGCTCAGGTGCTGTCCACGTTTTAATTCGAGTCAAAATTGCGTGGCATTCCTACCGTAGCCATTAAAAGCTAATGCTCTGAAAAACTGAAATAAGTATTTGAATAAGGTTGGATGATGGTTTGTCGAGTGAACAACATTCTTTCTTCTATTGTTATATCATATATTACCGTATTGCATATAAATGAGACTTGAAAGAGTATACGACTCCCTACTAACATAAAGCTGAGAAAAACGATATAGGTGCTTGAACTGCCTGGCCAAGGTTAAGTGATGTGCATTGAGTGCTTATCATTCTTTTTGTTGCTACCGTATGTTCTTGCACTGCATGAGACTTGAGGGAGTGTATGACTCCCAGCTATATGTTATTTACAGGATATACATGGGAGGCAGCTGTACGCTCCTTCGTATAGTTTTAGAATCCTTGTTACAAAAGAGGTAAATAAAAATGAAAAACAAGGGTTGTAACGTAATATTTAAGCGAGGAGAGAACAAAAATTTTAGCGATTTTTTTTTTAATTGCGAGTGAAGAAAAAAGAGGGCAAAACATTAAACCGGTTAGATTGCCTGAAAAAACAATTTCTTGCTTTTGATGAACATTATCTGTTTTCTCCGGCAATTAAATAGCTTTGATGTTTTCAATGGGTAAATGATGGTACTAGTGTTTTGTGCGACAAATAATTGCCTAAAAGAACCCAAAAGTTAAATAAAAAACAAACTCTCTTCTTATAGAAGACCATCGAAGTAACCTATTTTTAAATGTGTTTTAGTTCATTGTAGATTATATCCTTTACTTTCGATTGTTTCAAGCCGTTAGGAAGACATGTACGCGAAAAAAGAAATAATTAAATAAACAAATTAATAATAAAAAAATGCATCATTTTAAGTAACTTTTTATTTAATGATCGTCGGTCAAATTTTGTAATTTGCCATGTAAAAATACAGAGCGTAGAAAATTGTATAATTTACAATTCAAAATTTTTTTAAACTATTATAAAATGAAACATTAAAAAAAATAATAATAATAAATCTTATTAAAAGATATTTTTTGCATCGAATTTTTTTGAAAATTTTTTTTTTGCAATTATGTGCAAAAAGTTTTCGATTCGCTAAAGAATCTTTTGGGATGTGGCGAAATACGCAAAATTAACATTAAGGGGTTTAAACTTTGGAACGCTCTCTTGACTATTAGGACTATATTTCCCAGATTGCAACTACCCCCTATATTTTGGGGAAATCCGAATCCGTTGATAAAATTGTATGTTTTTGTGACTGATTTTGTTACTTAAAATATAGTGTTTAAAATATCGTATTTAAAAAAAAAAACTTCTTCTCCTTTTTTTTAAAATTTTTTAGAAAATAAATTCTACACTCATTCTGAAATGCATACTTATTACACAAAACTATAATCAATATTACTAATCAATATTGCTAACGCATGGTTTAAATTAAAAACATGTACGAGAACGTAACCAAACGTTAAACTGCAAACACTCATCAGCATCATCATAGTTGGCCAGACAGCCCAACGTGGGCCAATGCTTTCCTCTGAAGATGTCTCCATAGCGACTTCCAATTTATCTTTGAACTCCAATTCTTAACGCTAATTGCAAGAAAATCAGACTCTACCGAATCAGCCCATCTCAAACGCGACCTTCCCCGCTTTCTTGTTCAAATAGGTCTAGAAAGCAATATCTTTTTTATTGTATAGTCATCACTCATTCGAATCACGAGGGCCATCCAGTTCATTCCATTTATTTTTATGTATTTATTAATATCAGGTTGTTTTTAAATCTTGTACAGTGGAAAGTTAAATCTCCTTCTCCAGTTATTGATTTCATTTATACCACCAAGCAAAATACCCGCAAAATATTTCTCTCAAATATCGCGATGCAATTTTCCAACAGTTTTTTCATTGTCCAAGCTACAGTAGCATATGTCAAGATCGGCCTGCCAAGAGTTTTGTAAATTAAGAACTTTGTCTTTCTAGAAAGAAACCTATGGTTAATAAATCTTCCCAGCCCATAGACAGCCCTTATTTGCCAGATAGAGTCGATTTTTTTATTTCGGGAGACATTCTGTTATCAATAGTAATAGTTGATCCTAAGTAAGTAAAACTCCTTACTGTTTCAAATCCATAAGAATCTATTTCAAGATAGGAATCTAGGACTCTATTTCTAGAGAATAACAAGTATTTTGTTTTCTCTGCATTTATGACTAAGACCATTTGTCTTGCAGCAACAAGAAATGCCTCTTTCAGGGCAGGAAGGAAACGAGCAAACATTAATATCATCTGCATATGCAAGTCGTTGTACTGATCTAGTAAAAATATGACCACTGGTATTAATGTTTGAATTACGAATAACTCTCTCAGGTGCAAAATAAAAAAGAAGACAGGATAGGAAATCTCCCTGTTTTGACACTTTTAAATGTATCAAGATTTTCTGACAGAGATCCCAGATAATTAATCTTACACTTAGTATCTTTCAATGTAAGTCTCGTCAGTTTAATGAGTTTTGAAGGTATTTTGAAATACTTCATTGTTTTAAGAAGAAAATTTCAATTGATCAAAAGCAGCCTTGAAATCAACAAAAAGTTGATGTGTTTCAATGTTAAATTCCATTGACTTCTTTGAAATCTGAGGGAAACAAAATATCTGAACTTTAGTTGATTTTCCAGCATGTTACAATTATATTTTTCTATTTGTGAGTTAAAGAATGGTAACATCCTGAGAAATAAAATTCTTGATACAATTTTATAAGTTATACAAATCAGACTAATGCCACGACATCATAGAATCTCCTTTCTTGTGAATTGGACACAAAATGCTAACATTCCAATTCGTTGGCATAATCTCAAAGTACCAGATGTCAGTAATAAGTTCAGATAAATTCCTCAATATGGTAGGTTCACAATTTTTTAGTTGTTCCGGCAGCTAAAATAAGTTTTTAATTGCAGCCCTGCTCTCCTCAATGGTTGAAGCCTCAACTTAAACGGCAAGCACTACATGGCGCCAAAACGTCAGACAAATACCGCACAATGTTTATTTCTTGTAATTCGATTATAAAGGCTTTATATGAAAAAATACTGAATAATATAGATAGAAATATTGTTTAGGGTAGATTAGATTGAAAAATTGGTCT